ACACAATATGTTCTTTGATCTTCCGCTTTTCTGTTTCCCTTCAGGATTCCAAGTTAGAGCTTGTCTCGTGATGCAGTTTGATGATTACCGTAATGTATGTCCTATCCACCTCCAACATCTTTTCTTATTTTCCTCTTTAACTGGAAGCTGGTTTTTAGTTGATAGTTATTAGTTAATATTACATCATTATTTAAAAATCATTCAAAATAATCAAAAAACAGATGAACTTCAGACTATACTGTTTTAATGAAATAATGTTCATCAAAAAGTGTAAAACAACTGATGTGTTTCCTAATCAACACTGATCAATCTAATATTATTCCGATAATTTCCGTATTCAAATATCTGGATGTATATTAGTTGTTTCACACTTAAATTTCTTAGGATCTAATTCAGAATTACTTATTTCTCATTTGAATATTCCTTACTTTCATCTTTTAATAAGTCTTATACCATTGTAAAGACTATAATCTTCTATCAGTTATCAAAAATCCATATCTAAACGTTTATCAAATTTATTCCTTCACGATCTACAATATGCATCAATCTTATGAGCATTTTAAAAAGAATATTCTTCCATTTCCAAGTTGATCACAATCAACTGATCTTTCTATTCTCCCTCTTTATCTATGATTTCTTGTTAATATCAAATGGAATTGTAAATTCTTTCAACTATTGATTACAATTGATTTATATTATAGATAGTTAAAGATGAATCCATACTGATTTGTCATGATTGCCTTCTTTTGATCCATTTAAGTGTATTAAAATAATAAAAAAAGAAATGCAATTTACTTTATTTTTTTTCTTTTTGGTTCACCATAGAAATAAGGAGAATAAAAGAGAAGAAATTAGACCAATCAAATTATTTGACTTCTTGAATTAAAGTAAAGTGGATTAACTTTTAAAGAAGAATATCTAATAAAAGAATTATTATTATCATTATTATCAGCTTTATTCAATATTATATTTTTGGTACAATATAGAATTCTCAGCGTAAAGTATTTCAACAAGTTTCCGTTTCTTTCTTCTTGGTCGGTCCTGGCGATAAATATGGAGTGATCGCCAGTTAGATGTTAGCAGTTCACCGAATGAACATCTGAATAATGTGCATTCTTTTCGTTGTATATTGACAGCAACCACATTGTCTCTTATTGAATTTTTTGTAACTTTGACAACGAAAGGTTGTACACTTTTCAGAAACGCAGCAGAATAGGTCATGCGATTAATAAACATAATGATGTATTAAAACAAACAAAAATAGATAACTTGTTGAAATATCTAGATGGCAGGAACAGGTAGCCCAGATGCTCAAGCAGGCTGCCCTTTATTTGCTAGTTATACTCAAGTGAATTAAATTAGTGACAACATAGTAATAGCAATAAGATTTACTTAAAATGAAAATCGATTTTTAAAAAAATGTGTATTTTATAGCAATTAGTCCGTTTAAATAAGAACTTTCGTCTAAAGTTGAACGAATAGTTTCATAGTATTTTGGCGCCTTCGATAAATTTCGATAATGTAATAAGAAGACGGAGATTATCAGAATTATGTGATATATTAGCGCAGAAGCAAATACAATCAAGTGACCCAATAAGAGCAGAGGATAAACATCTATCATCGTCTATTGCTAAACATATAATTGAAACAGGCCATAAGATTGTTTTAAACTCGGCTTTTGTGGTTTTGTATAAAAGTGTAAAAGGGCGTATACTAAGGTTTATTGAAGCCTTAGTCATATGAAAACTGAAACCCGCTTTGTGTGTCCAAAAACAGTTTGTTCTTACCTTAAACCTACCCCGATAATATTGACTTATTATCCATCGTGATTAGGTCTCGAGTTGTGTTCACATTATTATTACTCTTATTATTATCCTCTTACCCCATTTTCAGTCTAGTGGACCTTTTATTTTTATATATAAATGTTCTTAACAAGTATATGTGTGATCAGGTTGTTCGAAATGTATTGCACTAACATATAACATAATTCTGATAATCTTCGTCTTCTTATTGCATTATCGAAAAATGTGTATTTAGTCAATAACTATATACACTATAATCTAATTTTGGCCTTTTAGAAAATATAATCAACTGAATAGGATTTATTTCCTATAATAATAATATATCTACAAGTGGTAATCATTTATTACGATATAGACTCCAAAGTAATTTTTACCTTATTACATTAGTTTGTATAGAACGTTTAAGAAAAATAAATGAACTTGCTACTTGATAAGGATCAACCTAATTACTGAAATATTGTTATCATACGATCTATTTAATTGTTAAAATGCAACTATTTTTAACCATGGATAAATGGTCTTGGTTTAAATAACGATTAGGAATAATGATGACATTTAACAGAAGTTTTTAAACTATCTTATTAATTAGACTAAAATGTATGAGTTATGTATGTACTTGCATTGTTGAATTTCTCTGTAAGTAATACCTATTAGTTGACAAGTGATTTCGTAACTGCACCTGAACGTGCTTTCCTAACTCGATCAAAACGATTAAGAATTTCATGCTTAACTAGTTTAAATAAATTAAATTATCCAAATTACAGTTGTTTAAACACTTTACAGTTTCTCATTACAGACTGACGTTAGTGAAACAGCTATTGAAAACCAGCATACACTAGATAGCTGTTTTGCCTGAGTGTAGGAATCATTAACAATAATTTTAAGCAATTTTACCTGGAGATTTTTTTATCCTTAATGAGAATGTGAAATAAAAATTGCAAATACTGAGATGATTCTATTTACAAAACCTGTACTAGTTACGGACTAAGGAATGTGATGATAAAATGTCCACTGAAAACTTTGTTATTGATCCAAATAACAAGTACATTTGAATTGCCAAATCTAAAGACATATTCTCTTGCTAATAAGAGTAAGGGATCACTAAAGTTGTCTGTAGACCTCAAATGCCCTGGTACGGCCGAGAGTGGGGAGAGTCTGCTCTCTCTCTCTCTCTCTGTCGAAATACTCTCACATGACCACGCGCGTTTAGCCTCTGCCAGGGAAGTCCTACTCACTGCCTTTTCGTGGTTGGGGTGTTGTTTACGAAATCGAGAGAACGAAAGGCGAATGTTCGGCGCTTTAACCGGGTTGGTGGACATGGAGAGTCCACCTAGGGGAGTTGGAAAACCCCTATTCCAAACCAATGGTGCACATGGGCTCCAGAATTCTGAAGGGACAAATGGCACATGAACCAATCGTTGGTCACCGGCTACCACAGGAGTGCATCTCCTTACGATGCTCCACTGTCTTGTGGATCAGACCTTTAGGTCGGAGGCTCCAGGTGTGGCCCCCTAAGAAAATCACCTGCTTCTGTTTAGGCACCCGGGCAGTATCACATCCCTCACACAAATCAAATGAGATTCGTGTGGTGCCTCCTTGTACCAATATCTATGTGTTAAAACAACAAATAAATAAAATAAAGTTATCTGTAAATTAAGTTTCAACAGTATATTTATATTTGATAGATTTTCTATGGTAAACTGATATCAGCTGGTCAACTATTAAAAATCAACACTAGAGTAGTGATATGTCATATTTTGGACTTCTTATAATTACTTATCCACGATCGTACATGAGAAACATGATACAACATTCATATCTCACTATCCTTAGAACACTGAATTCCAGTTCAGCCATCCATACTCTATTGGAGTCAGCTAAACTAAAATACGGAAGATATTTTAGTAATGTTATTTCAGTTACTTGTTAGTAGTTCAAAATTTTATAATAAATTTCTTATAATTGTTTATTGTTATTTGCAAAGAAATACTTATAACGTTGATTTTAACATAAAATCAATTATTTTTATAAGGAAAATGCAGTGAGCTCTTCTGTTTATACCTCACTTCCTTTTAGTTAGGTAAAAAGCTACAATTCTACATCCTGCTTTAGAAAATGACTCAGACCTGAGATAAAGCCCCGAATTACGTGACCAGAACTAATTCTGAGTATAAATTATTTTAAGTTTATCTTGAACGTCTTACTATGAAAAATGAAATGAATCATTTCATGTCAAACATTTATCTGTTTATGTCATATTTACACAAAAGATTATTTAGTGAAATGTTCTACTTAAAACCAGCACCTGTCATTCACACCCATGTTAAACATTAGAAAGTAATGAAATAAACAGATTAATATGGTCAAACAAATGCTTTTGATTACTTCAACTTAAAACAGATATCTATATACAAAGGATTCCTACCTTATTTTGACATACGTTGAGTTCATCTTATCTACTGGTATATTCATCATTTATAATCAAACAAATTCTCATCTTATATTCATTACCCTACCATAAATATCTAAGATTAATTTCTTTTTTAATCAAGTATTTTGATATTTTCTATAATAGATAAATGGAATATATGGAAATTACAATACACAAGCTTCTTTACAAATATATTAGATTAGCGTTATTGAATTATTTATTCTACTATAAAGATTGAGTATACATTTCTGATCTGATTTGACTATTCTCAGTTATTTTACCTGAATTAATCCCCTGCAAATACCGTCCATATTCTAAAGTGACCACAGTTAATCATTTGTTGATTTTATTGGTGACTTATTTAATTCGTTGTTGTAGTAAAAGGCTATTTGAATCACCTAAATCAGTCATCAATAAAAACTATTGCGCAGCAAAGGTCATCATCAAAGAAAGAACAAGGTGCATTTGTTGATTGTTATTATTACATGAGACATGACATTATTATTGCATTGTGTTTTGCTAAAACAGGAGGTACTATAAAATTAGTCATTATTCATGAAATTTTCAACCTAATCTCAACACTTTATCTCACTTCATATTTATTTCTAATGGTTTAAATATCAGTAAAATGTCAACCAACTCTACATGAAAGTTGTTTAAATATACTGAGGATTACTTCTTCACTTACTTGTTAAATACATATTTTAATGCAAAATATATACACTGTACGAATTATCATACTTGGTAATTAACTTGCAATATTTAAAATGCATGATGATGATGATGATGATGATGATGATGATGATGATGATGATGATGATGATGATGATGATGATGATGATGATGATGATGATGATGATGATGATGATGATGATGATGATGATGATGATGATGATGATGATGATGATGATGATGATGATGATGATGATGATGATGATGATGATGATGATGATGATGATGATGATGATGATGATGATGATGATGATGATGATGATGATGATGATGATGATGATGATGATGATGATGATGATGATGATGATGATGATGATGATGATGATGATGATGATGATGATGATGATGATGATGATGATGATGATGATGATGATGATGATGATGATGATGATGATGATGATGATGATGATGATGATGATGATGATGATGATGATGATGATGATGATGATGATGATGATGATGATGATGATGATGATGATGATGATGATGATGATGATGATGATGATGATGATGATGATGATGATGATGAGATGATGATGATGATGATGATGATGATGATGATGATGATGATGATGATGATGATGATGATGATGATGATGATGATGATGATGATGATGATGATGATGATGATGATGATGATGATGATGATGATGATGATGATGATGATGATGATGATGATGATGATGATGATGATGATGATGATGATGATGATGATGATGATGATGATGATGATGATGATGATGATGATGATGATGATGATGATGATGATGATGATGATGATGATGATGATGATGATGATGATGATGATGATGATGATGATGATGATGATGATGATGATGATGATGATGATGATGATGATGATGATGATGATGATGATGATGATGATGATGATGATGATGATGATGATGATGATGATGATGATGATGATGATGATGATGATGATGATGATGATGATGATGATGATGATGATGAACCAAATTTCTGTAATGAAAAAGAAAATCAACGCGATATATGACCATTTACATAATCAGAAAGAACTAGTCACTTCATGCCTAATAGGTTAATTGCGATCAATGTTCAAGTATTTGTACTAAAATGTATTTATGTAATAAATTTTAACTAAACAACCAAAATATTTTGAGTGCACACTTTTAAAGTCTCTTAGTAGAACAGAATAACTGTACAATACTCTGTAGTTTTTTTGAAACAAGAATGATAATTTTGAAACGATTCAAAAAATGGGATTTAACGAACTCCATGATTTGTCAGATAACTTGGAGATTTTAGCTATATTTGAGTCTCCATTTTTGGTGTTTATTTAAATTTCTGATAAGTGGTGCGTCTGTTGTGTCCTAGTAAAGATTAAATTATAGGTATCTTCTGTGAACTATTAATGGACTGATATTTAGGTATAAGTATTCAGTAACTAGATTGTGTATATCTGTATTCCTTTTATTATAAGGTTTATTTAGACCTATAGGCTATTATGACAGGATTTACTATTAATAAATTATACTCAGTTTATTGAATACAGTCTCCCATGTACACGGCCACATTTTGGCTATACAAATGTTATTTCCTATTTTATAGTGTGATGCGGTCTCTTTGGCTTGTATATAAATCAGGTATGTTTTAAATAAATGATTCGTATAGTGGTAGCTCCTATTGATAATCTAGACTCAACTGGGAGATCTAGGAGGATAAAGGACCAATTAGTACGCTAGGCTGCTCATATCAGTTGAACGTCAACAATTTGGCACAATGCTAAGATTGCATAAGTTATATTCCAATTGGCAAATAAGTTACGTGATAATTAGCCGGACTTAAAGTCACAACAGTATCTGATAAATCCTTTACATAAATTACTTAAAAAAACACAATAACCGAAGTGATTTTCAATGTAAATGAATAACCTTTCTAATACATTTCCTTATTTTAATATTAGGATAGAATATTAAGTAATCTTCCATTTCCTTCAGGAACCCTCTCCAACTTATAGATACTTGAATAAAATTTCCCTGTTTTTAATCGGTTTTAACCAAATGATGATGCTTTCTAACATCTCACCTATTCAGTTGTTTTTATAAAATGTTTACAGATAATTGCTTTTAAATTTCCATGGAACCATAAATTTGTTTATTGTGATCTCTTTTAGGAATAGTTTTTTATGGAGGTAATTGCATTAAAGTTCAAACATCATATATATATTATGAGATGGTTAAAGAGTAAAGCTAAGTAGAAACGCTTAAGAGCCAACGTAAATAATATCAAACAGCCGTTAAAAACGTTGTTGCACTCATTTTGAAGATCAATATTTTAAATAGATAGTAAAAGGGAGTTTGATGCAATTTTAGATATTCAATCTTAGGATTCTTTATTATTATTATTGTTAGTAGTAGTAGTAGTAGTAGTAGTAGTAGTAGTAGTAGTAGTAGTAGTAGTAGTAGTTGTTGTTGTTGTTGTTGTTGTTGTTGTTGTTGTTGTTGTTGTTGTGGTAGTAGTAGGTGTCATTAATTTTATAACATCGTAATGATATGATATTCAACAGAAAAATTAATCTACTTACAAATAATGTAAGTAGCTATTTCACGTAGATTAAGAAAATATCGACTGATGAAAGTCTTTCAACGGCTAAATGAAATCATTTTCAAATCCACAAAGTTTCCCGTCAACCAATATTTCGCTGTATAAAATCCATTTGACTCTGAGTATCAGTCAATTAATGAGAACGTAGAACATAATACAAAATAATAATATTATTCATAAACTTCTCAGTATAGACAATAGTATGAGTATGGCAAACCTAGTTATTAATTATGAGCTATTATATACCAATGTAGGTTTTCAGGAAAAAAATGAAATTTAACTATGTTATCTGTCTTATAATATTAAATAGATACAAGGAATTCAGTTTCGGACGTAACATCCAACAAAATCCAATCAAGGATATCAACTTTGAATTACAGATAAATTAGACATCCATAACTTACAACCATAGTTGTATGTCAAAAGCACTTTGTTTGATCCTTCTCCTTACCATGACCCTGATTTATAGTCTTTTTTTTACTTGTTCATTTTATTTTCTTACCATGGTTCACTCCATTGTTTATGAGAAGGGATCTACTTTACTCCATATTATTATTACAAATGTTATCCCTACCTAGATTTCTTGATTACTTTTCAAATGCCTCTTTTATTTCAGATTAATAATATTTACAGTTACGCTATTCATCTTGTTTTTCATAAATTCCCTACTTTAATAGCTATTTAGAAAGTTGATTTATTGCTATTCAATGGTAAAGATTAAAACTGTTGTACAACCCATACATAATTAAATCTTCAAGAACTATATTCATTTATTCATCTGAATATTATATACTATGACATACTTGAAAGTATTTTAGAAGAAGTGTATTAGTAATACATAAATACTTCATAAAACATTACTTTTACACTTGATGGCAACACTGACAACACTAAAGTATTCTAATGCACTTTTTCATCTATTCGATATTAATTAGATGATCATCATTCAATCGACAAAACAGTAGTATAAATGTGGAGAAATAAAATTTTAAGAAAACTTTGGTGAAATGTATCTGTAACGGTAAATAAGTCACCAAAATCAATAGCTCTGTAAGTCTTCGACATTGGATGCTGACCACATTAGTTTAAATGGACTCACCTAGATGAAGGCACTTGGTTACACATCCGCACCAGATCACGAGTGGGAACTCTGTGCTCAACTTCTCCTGAAATCACTAGCAAGTTTAGATCAGTCGATTCTCGATATATTGATAAGCTATTAAATATATCTTCGAACCTCCTTTTTTCTGACTTTTGATTTCACTGAGTGGACACAACACAGTTATAGATGTTACTGGTTAAAGTGTTGTCAAACTACAAATACCTGTGGCATCACCATACCTTTGTCAAAGAAAAAAAAAGAAGACATATTTCATCTTAAGACGGTGGTGAAGATTTGTAGCTCAGGTGGACGATTCTGATGGGGTTTTGTTCTCTGAGCTGGATGGTTTGGTCATGTTTTTTTTCATTATCTATTAACTCCTTGCTTAGTGTAAGAACAACGTTTATTAAGAACTAATAATTCCTGTCTAGATTGGTGAGAGTGAAATAGTAAGAATTTTTGAATTAACAATGAATGACTTCTATGTAATTTAATAAATTTTTTTCAAAAGTTCTCCAAATAAAAGTAATTTACAATGTTGATCATCTTTAAAATTTTGTACGCTATTGTAAATCTCATTAAGAATAGTCATTAATTATTTAAAAGTTGTTTGAATCTACAGGAGACCAAATCAAGTGGATTACTGATAAATAGTACAATCTAGATTATTAATCCACCTAGTATTGTTTAACTGAATCTTCCCATTGATGTTTAGGATTGCAATTGATCAATCTCTTATTGGCATATGTGCATACTGTGCGTATTGCCTCGATATTGCCTTTATTCACACGTATCATAGGCAAAGATGGATAGTGGCTAGCAGTGGAATTCAGGACGCGCGTTTTATCCTATTTGGGACGAAATGGGAAGATTCAAGTAAATAATACCAAGTGAATTTAAACTTCACCCCAATGTACAAGAAAGTGGCTATCAGGACTCAACAGTTCTGAGTTCGAGTCCCTGAGTGAAAATCAACTCTGAGATACAGGTACGAATAGGACAAAACTCGTGTCCTGGATTCCACTGCTATCCACTATCTATCATTGATTAGATTATTAATCGTCTGTTGACAGGATTTGTGTTACATTTATGTAACATTTCAAACTAATTCTTCATAAAAACAGAATTCCTCATCAATTTTTTCTCAATTAATTGCATGAATAAACAGTTCAGTAAAGACGTTATGCTTATTCAACAGTAATCAAATCAACATTGAATAGTAGGTAAACATCTTGTTTAGAATAACATAGATAAAGTGTTATATACAATAGATCAACTGAACAATCAATAAAGCAAAAATAAAACAAAAACAGAAACAATGTAACTAATATAAATCGTTTCACCGAAAGAATATATATAGATGTACTTAGGTTTACATGTTGTTACTCTTTATTTAACCATTATTCTCTTGTCATTGTATTCTACTAACTTTTCATATTGGACAATTTTTATGCTCACTTTCTCACCCACTTGACAATTCATACTTTTTTTTATTAATTAATGATACTTTAACACGCATGAGTTAGAAATTGATCAGATAATTATTCTCACTTTTCTAATTTAGCGCCTTAGTTTTTTTTTAAAAAAATAAATAAAGTAAATTAATTGATCATTTATTTAAGGTTAAATTAACAAGGATAACCATTAGAATAAATGAACAATTGAAGAAGTAAAAATTAAAAGCAAGTGAATCGAATCATTACAATTGAAAATGATTGTTTATATGATGATGTAATGATTCGATTCATCAATATATATAATGTACCCCACTGACATTTCATACACTTGTATGGTTGGATGATGATTTTAGCCTAAAAAACGTATTTAGTAAAAGGTAAAATCCTCAAGATGTTACTAATGATAATCAGTGAACCATATAAATGTTTTATCGACAAGCACAATGAAGGAAAGAAATGCTGAAGAATTATTACTATTATTAATATGCATGAAGATTTTAGTCGCTAACTTGATGAATACGAGGAATCTTTGAACAATTCACTAGTAAAGCTTCAAATAAATAACTCTGTAGTCTACTATACAAATCCTGTTAAACTCGTCATTATTTTGCATTAAAACTGGTTTGTCAACTAATTCCACTCCTTCATAAAAACAATGGAAGTTGGTCACACAGCTTCGTGGATTGATTGGGGTTAGACACTAACACCGACTCGGTGGTCTAGAGGTTAGGCGTTTGCGCGCGAGACTTCAATGTTTTACTAGACAGTCTGATTCATTCTTCGGAATCACTTAATTTTATTCATCATGATTCAAACAAATATATCTTGACTAGTATGGGGGGTTTGTGGAGACCAAAGGTTTTGAGTTCGATCCCCAGCAGGGTCTTGGCTGCGTACTACTGGCTAGTTTCATACGAAA